ATTTCCCACAGATTAATTTCTGGGAAACAGTGAAGTCAACCCCATGATGAAAAAGTACCACCAAGAGCACATTAGGCCTTATGTGGAATCCTCCTTGACAAAACTGTCTTGTAAATAAGAAGTTAAGCTTCACACTGGTCTAAAGCAAACTTGTCTAGAAGCAAGAGGTTTGGAATTGTAAAGAGTTGATGCATTGTGACATCAGGTCTCAGTGGCTGAACTGAGAAGACTGGAATTTGTCTTTAACTTGAGTGTTTCAGAAGCACTTTGCCACCTGGATTAGGAGCAACTTTATTCTGGCAGAGCTGGGGTGGTGGGAGGCAACGTGCAGTGGCCTTATGTAGCCAGAGTAGCAGATGGAGGGAGCAGCTGCTTCCACTGCTGGTTTACTCGGTGTGGAGGGTAAGGATCAAAGCAGAGAACACCCTGGTCTTCAGTGCATAGCCTCCTGGGGTACTCTGCTTCTTTTCTTAACAAGGCTAAAGTAGAGTGATTTGAGATGATGCTAAGATTTGTGTAGGTTGTCCAGCTAGAACCCTAAGCTGAGCCCAAGTCTTAGGTTGTGTGGCGTCTAAAGGAGAGCTGTTCCCAAGACCTGACCTTACCGGAGAGGTCAGGGTCTCCCTGCTGAGCTGCAGCTTTTGTGACTATTACCTTCCAAGGCATTCTGCATAACACCACCCTCCTCCCCACCCTGTGTGGTGTGATTGTTGTCATCTGCCAGCAGCTTTTACTTCTCGTCCTCATCCCCTTCACTCATGCTGCTGATGGAGGCTGAGGCTGCTTTGGGTGAGGAGGGTGGTGAGGTTTTGTTCGGGAGCCACGGGAAGGTGGGTGATGGGGAGCGAGAAGGAGAGCGGCTCCTGGTTGGGCTCCTGGTTGGGCTGTTCATAGGGCTCTGCTTCGGGGATAAGGCCTGCAGCATCCGGCTGCTTCTCTCCTGGAACATCTGCTTCTAGAAAGACATTTGAGAGAAGGTGTCTGTTAACTTAGCAGTCTGAGGTAACAGGAAAGAGCGATAATACCCCAAAGCAGTTCTAGGAGTATGCACATGCACACTTATGCCCACAAACATAGACCTATATGACATTTCACATCTTCTAAGACCATCTATGGTGAGAAATTAAGTGAGATTCAGGGGCAATGGGATGTTGATACATAAGATCGCCATCACTGCTGTATTCGGGCCCTTTCTTTCTTCTCTTCATTTTTTCCATCTACAAAATTTAACTGAGTATCTATTATTCTCCAGGCAAATAATACCACACCAGGTACTAGAAAGTTACCAGTTGCCATCAGTTGCTTCTGACTCATGATGATCCCTCATGTATCAAAGGAGAACTGTGCTTCATTTCTTCCAGGGCATCTCTGAGTAGACTCAAGCCACCAAACCCTTGTTCTCATGGATATGAGGAGGAATCATATAATAAACTAAATCAATAAAATATGTGGTAGGGCGGGTGGAGATGTGAGGAAAATAAAACAAGGCGAGAGGAAAGTGAGTGGAATCATGGAGGCGGGTGGCAGGTGAACTACAATTAGCAAGAGGGTGCTTGGGGAAGGCCTCAGTGAGAAGATGCTATTTTTGAGAAGAGCTGAAAGAAATAAGGGAACTAGATGAATGGGAATCTGGAGGAAGAGACTTCTAGACAGAAAACCCCAAGCAGGAAACATGAAGTGCACATCCAAGGAAGATGAAAGTAGTTGTTGTGGCTGGAGTAGAATAGTTGGGTAGCGAGAGAGTGTTAGGAAGTCACCAGAGAGGGAACGGTGTCATGTAGGTCTTGGTGGCTATTGTGAGAACTTTGCCTTTTCCTTTGAGGAGAACAAGCATGCTGTGCGCAGGGAAGAGTATGGAGGGCGTTGTGGCTACAATGAAGTGGACTGGGGGGTAGGACAGGAAAGGTGAGAGGCATTAGGTCCGAGAAATAATGGAGGGTTGTTTCACATAGCATCTTGGTGGCCATGTAAGAATTCTGGAAAATTCTTACATGGAAAAGCAAACTCTCTGGAGAATTCTGAGCAAAGGAATAACACAATCTGATTTTTTTTTAAATCAAAGAACCACTGTGGGTACTGCGCTGGAAACAGGCTACAGTGAAGCAAGGGCAGGAACATGGAAAGCCGTCAAGAGCCCCTGGCAATCAGAAGACTAGATCAGGATGGCAGCTTGAGTGAGGGTGATGGCAGTAAAGATGGTGTGAAAAGGTTGCCTTCTGGGTGTATTTCTTCCCCTATTTTCATTAAGGTGTGAATTATAATACAGTTTGCCTGTTTTAGTGGACAGTTTGGTGAGGTTTGACAAACACATACAGTTGTGTACCCATCACCACACTCAAGGCATAGGAGAGTTCCATCAGGGTCCTTTGTAGTCATTGATCTCCCCAAACTCTAGCAACAGATCTGATTTCTGTCCCTACAACTTTTGCCTTTTCCATAATGTCATGCAAACGATATCGTGTAGCCAACAAGACTTGCTGACAGATGGGATGTGGGGTATGGGAGGAACAGAAATCAAGTCAATCTAGGAGGAAAAGTTAAGTGAGTCCAGTTCTGCCCTGGGAAACTAGAAAGCCAGCAATGCCATTTACTAGTGTGGGGAAGACTGCCAGGGGTGGGAGCAGGAGGAGGTTCTGGTGGTAAGACTAGGTTTCCAGTTTGGGACCTCTGGTGACTGTTGTCCAGTCTATCACTACTGAGCCCTTCCCTGATGCTGTCCTTCACCTTCTAGGAAAACCCATCCAGGTCCTGAGTCCCCAACCTTCAGGACTTCCATGTTGACAAGGCCTTCTGCCCTTTGCCAGCTGCTCAGCCTGTAGGTGCTCTACTCCACCACTTTAGAGCACTATACCTCAGTCCCCAGCAACTTGGTCCAATCTTCTGATCCTAAACTGGTCCTAAGGGCCAATTCTCCTACTAGCCATTTTGGATTTGACTGGTTATTTGAGTTATTCATTTTACAAACCAATACTGACAGCCTCTGAGTATCAGATTCTCTGCAGGAGGAAGGGGAAGAAGAAGAGGGTTAAGGAGTTGGTGATGTCTGAGCTGGGTCTTCAGTAGGGGGTGGGAGCCAGTGGAAGACTGGCTTTTCCAAGGAGGCAGATCCGAGTACCAAGTCCTAAGTGCAAGCGGCTAGGCATGGCCTGAACCTTGGGAGCCTATGGGGTGACAGTAGACTGGGACTAGAGAACCAGGTGCGGGGGGCAGGGGGAGGATTTTTAATCAAGGAAGAGTATAACCAGATTTCGGTTTTAGAGTTATCTTTGGATGTGAGCATAAATACAGAGAAGGAAACCACTAAGCAAAAGATTGATGTTCGACTAGATAAAAATTTAAAACTCCAGTATCTCAACAAAAAAACAAAACAAAAACCACACACCATAAAATACAATAAAAAGCAAATGAAAGCATAGGGGAGAAAGTTTTACAAAATTTAACTACAAATTATGGACCTTAGTATATAAACAGAGCTTAAAAATTAAAAAGATAATTGTAAAACAGACACTGGAGGGGGAGAGAAAGGAATAGCGAAAAGCATCACCATAGAAAGCTTGTAAGTCCGTCTTCTGCCTATAACTGATTGGAATACCTAAAATGGGGCTACAACGTGCCCAGTGAAGGAGGCTTCCTGTGGAGCCTCTGCAATACATAAGACTATAGGTGGAAGCCTGAACCATATCCAGATCTCCAGAGATGGGAAATTCCCACTTGAAAGGACAAGCAGACCAAACTGGAGTGGCTAGAAGAACAGAAGATACTCCTTGAAAGAAAGACCTACAGAAAAAATATAAAACAACATAGGCAGACCGACTGTTACTATAAGAACAAGCAACATGCTTGCCCAGGAAACATCAAGGCAAGTGGTCGGGTCCCCTCAGTGCAAACCCCCTTCCAAGACTAAGACTCAATGGGAATACACGCTGTGATTGGTGACCACGATCCACACTGATAAGGGGAAGTGACGGAAAAACAGCAATGAAGCGGTGAACTAAGCCCTACAACGTTCAATAGACTTCTGTGAACCCGGGTGAAGACCTGGTTAGCCAGCAGTGTGGCAAGACCTGGGGACTCTTGGACCCAGAGTCAGTGACATAGTCAGTGGTTAGCAGAGGACTAGAGTGGAGAGTGAAGCATCCAGCTGATAAGAAGAGAGGGTATATGCACAAGAACACCCACACTTGCAGATAATACCCACTTATCTTGGCTTCAGTGACTGGATGATCAGAGCTCAACCAGAAGTAAAAAGAAGAGAAAAAAAAAAAAGTATTCTCATACAATTTGATAAACTTGACCTACACCTATGGAAGCAGTAGCTCAAAAGAGGGAACAAGTCCTTACAGCAAGAATCATTCCCACCCCCTCCACACACAGAGTAGACAGGGATGGGCAACTTGGACATTGGCTACCCAAAATGGGGGGCGGGGGGCTACAAAGGCAAGAAGTGACTGGCTTACAGGCTTTCAAGGGGGAACCTAGATCCAGAGGGCCTGGAGGAAGGTAGTATCTCCAGTGAGTAGTATCCAATCTGTCTAGGTGGGGCTGATGCAATGAAATGCAGATGGGTCTCTTGTGATACAATAGTGAATAATTATTATCAGGACTGATTGTGAGGGTTGGAAATGTAAAGGTAGACGTTTTATAGCAAGGAGGGGAGTGATTAACTTTTCAGTCTAGGAGCTGAGGTCCCTAGGACCATCAAGGGAGAAGAGCAGAGAGCGGGACCCTACCCAGAGAAGCAGTGATGCCTGAAATGGAGCCAGAGATGATGACGTGGAGCAATGGAGCAGCTGGAGACTTTAGATCCAGATAGGGAGAGTGACTATGTGCTGAAGACCTGGGGGGTACAGGGGAAGGATTGCATGGAGGGGATTGTAACCATGGCAATGAGATGATATACGATAGAATGAATGTAAAACTAATGTTCTCCCATGTAAACTATCACATAATTCACAATAAAACCTTTAAGAAAAAAAAATTATTATGTACACCATCCCCCACAAAAAATTAAAAAGATAAAACAGATGGAAACAATCTAAGTATCCACCAATGGATGAATGGATAAACTAAATGTGGTACATATATGCAATAGTATAGATTAGGCAGCCATAAAAGAATAATGATGAAGTCTCAAAATATGGATAACGTGGATAAATTTATAGGACATTATGATGAGTGAAATAAGTCCATCACAAGAGGACAAATACTATATGACTTCATTTTTATAAAAAAAAACAAGAATAAATATACACACAGAAACCAACATTCATCAGTGGTTACCAGGGTTGGGAAAGGGAGACCACTCTCTAGATAGTAGAAACGTGCTACTTTCATTGATGGGAAAGTAACACCAGATGTGAGTGAAGTATGCACAACCTGACCAAGGCAAAGAGGTCACTAACATGTACATAAGGATAATGGAGGTTTTCAGTAAATGTCACAAAAGATACAATTTAGCAACAACAACCCAACATGATGTGTACTTACATAGTTAGGTATGTATAGATAGGTATATGTGTGCATGTATAGGTGTATCTATGTTGTTGTTGTTGTTAAGTGCCATTGAGTGGGTTCTGATTCATAGTGACCCTGTACAAAGTTTCTGAGGAGCGACTGGTGGGTTTGAACTACTGATCTTATGGTTAGCAGTCCAGTGCTTTTCCCACAGTTCCACACCAGGACTCCAGTGTATCTATAGGCATACGCATATACATGTATGTGTCTGCTGCATATATGAGTAGGCTTCAAAAAGCTCATGGAAAAATTCCATTTGCTTTTCATTCCATTCTCAATGGACTTTTTGAAGCCCCTCATATATTTATATATATATGAAAGCATATAGGAGGTACAGTTACAGATACTTCTCTGGTTGATTGGTTATGTGCCGTGGAGTTGGTTCTGACTCATTGTGACCCTGTACAGTGTTTCCGAGGCTGTAAATCTTTACAGGAGCAG